CTTTAAGGTGTCGCGGATAAATGAGGGAGGGGCTAATAATCGGCTCAGTCATTTTTAATGATCGTTGAAAGCCCAGATCGTAATCGTGATTAAAATTCGATTAATTGAGCAGCCCTAGTTCAAAGGAAACTATGTATCTTCCATTTATTAGGTGGACAGAAGGAGAACAAATGAATGCTAATGTGCTCGAGGCGGATTTGTAGATGGGAAATTCTCTAAGTGTAAAAACTGTCAGTTTAAGCTCTTCTGTCCCTTTGCAACCTAAATGAAGGAATAAATGAGGTTTACACTGTTGTTGTGCAGTGTAAGAGGTGGTGTACCTTCTGCCTTGGCCCGGGTTTCTCTCCCCCCTTCCAGGTGTCGCTCTATGCTGCCTTGACTGTAACATCTGGTAAAGGGCACAGGCGACAGGGCCTGACTGTCAGCCTCGACACGCTGCTCCAGGATCGGAGAAAAGTCCACTGAGGAGTGCGAGTGAGAGGAGACGGCGTCTGAAGCAGCCTTCACCGAGGGCGATCCACCCGCTCCTCCATTTCTTCGTTTGCTTCTAGCTATCTCTGCGAAGGAGGTGACCCTCGGAGGAGGAGGTGGGGTGGCGGCAGCGCCCTCGCTGAGCCGGACGGGGCAGCTCAGCATCCGCTCCAGCGAGCCGAGCCGTGGAGACGGAGACTTGTCCAGGTTGCGATCGTAGCTGCGAGAACGTGGACGGCTTCCTGCAGACGCTCCAATAACGCCCCGACCAGACAGAGGAGGAGAAATGTTGACATACACCTGGCCTTCAATCACAGGACCAGCTTTAGCTCCCTGCTGATTCTTCTTCTTCTCCTCATCCTCATCATTGTCATTATCATCATCATCATCATCATCCTGCTGAATAACGAGGAATATGAAAAGAAAAGACTGAAAGTTGAACTTTTTCCAAGAGATTATAAAATAAAACACATTACTAGCTGTGGTTAAGAGGTCAAATTAAAAACAAACCAAAGGCTTAAACTGACTAATCCAGATTTGCTTTGACACAGTGGCAGTGGCACTGTTACCGACTGATATTAATACCCATCAGTCTACATAAGTGCTAAAATAATCCTCAGACATGAGCAGATAACTGCAGACGGTGGCTAGTGTCTAAAACGAGCCAGTGCCAGACTAATACCAGTGTTACTGCTATTTAAAGGTTTCACTGTTTCAGTTTAATTTACAGTTTAGGAGCTCTTTATGTTTCTTCTCCCCATTTTGCCTTTTCTGTTGAGTCAGATGTAATTTCTGTCTCTGTTGTTGATTTGGTCTTGCTTCACTGACCAATTTAGTTTTAGCTACATAAATAACAACAACAGTCACCGCGAAGTGCTTCATATTATAAGTTCAAAGCCTTTACAACCCCAACAATCAGACGACCCCCTATGAACAAGCACTTTGGCGACAGTGGGAAGGAAAAACTCCCCTTTAACAGGAAGAAACCTCCAGCAGAACAAGACTGAGAAGGTGCAGCTATCTGCCACAACCAGTTGGAGGGGAGAGACAATTAATAAACATTACATCATAATCACTTGTTTGTGTAACGTAATTAAACTGACCTTTACTTAACTAAAAACATCAAACACAGATTC